ACTACTCATCACTTGTAAATGTGTTTTCATTTGTAGATCTTTCTTACCTGTTACAAATTATGTGTACGTGTATACGGGTCATTTATAACACTTTCTGCATCCCCTAATCTAAAGTGTAAACTATTGTGTATATTAATACTAATGTGTGTATTATTAAGTGAACTATAAGTGTAAATTTGAAGCTGTTGTAAAATAGTTGATAAATGCAAACCTACAAGTTGAAGCACTACTGTCACGAACGCCGGTGAAGATTCCTCAATCGGTAAACTGTGTGTGTGAGAGTATTAGAGTGTGTGAGAACACTCATTGTGAAGTCTTGTTTGCTCCGGCGATATTTCTGAGCGTTATTTTCCCTGTGTTGTTCTGCCCGTGTTTGACTCTGCTTTGGATTCCCTTGTACGATGTTTGCCTGGACTACCTCTATTATTGTTTGCTGCCTGCCCTGATCCTCTGCCTGTTATGACCATGTTAACTGCTCTGCATCTGATATTGTTGTTTGACCTGGTGTTTTGACCCACGCCTGTCTGTACTCTGAACTTGCTTTGTGTTAATAAACCACACATGGATAAGCCAGAGTCGTTGTTACAACTACACTACCCACAGTCCTTAAACAAAATAAAAAAGTTGCTGTTACAGCAAAAATAGGAATTATGGCAATCTCCACAGTGTTATTTCCATTGTTTCCCACATAAACACAGGGCAGTGGTGTTTTCTGGACGGTTTTATTTAATTACTTTATGCAGAGTGTTGCTAAAAATGTTCTTGTAATTACAATAAAAATAAATCAACAACAAAACAATAGTTTGTATAGTGTTCAGATTCACACCACGTTGCCCAAAAACATTTTTAACCATCCAAAGTTGGTTGATGATCATAGATTGACTTGATTTAAAGTGGTTTTGGGCCCTTTTCAAATCAGCAGAAAGCAGACCAGTGTTCTCTTAAAATCTTTATATTTACAAATACAAAATGTCATCACATTATCAGAACACATAGGCCACAAATCCTACACCATATCATACTAAAGAAAATATAAATCTTTTGGCTGACAACGTTATTCTCCACAAGAGTCCTGCAGCGCAAACTGATCTCACCGATGTGTGCAACGTGTGCATGAAAACAAATCTCAGAAATATGATTTACAAGATTATAATTGAAAACAGAGTCAGACTATTTAAAAGATTATATAAATATTCATAGCTTATAAACAACAGATACTGCTTGATAATGAAATAATGTGCAGCTTACTTTACCAGTCTTTCGCCTGTGTATCCAGTGATATAGTTGTCATCCAGCTTACTATTTGGTATGGCATCATCATTTTTCTATAGTTCAAAAGTTTCTGCTTTAAATAGTTCTCTCCAAGGCTACTATATACGCGTGCAATTCTTTAATGTCGAACAACATCATACTGTTACGGTGAAATGCACATTGATTCAGCTCTTGCTTGTTTATTGCATATCACACAAACAACTACTGTTTACATGTATAATAAGCTAAATAAATGTAATAACGGCATCCTCCTTATCTCCAGCAGGGGAAGACACGTTATCTTCGTCGGAGCAGTTATGAATTAAGTAAAGAGTGACTGATTTCTGTAAGTGTACATTTTGCTCTAGATGTGTGGCTCAGGCCAATGACAGTTCAGCGCAGTGCAAGCTGTGTAACACACCGCTGTGTAACACCGTTTTGTCCCACATTTGGTGAGTTTGGCTTCGCATAAAATGTTTGTGTGCCATGATCAAACATACATGGACACTGAGTCACAGTTCACCAGTGTTTGTATACAAAATGTGTCCTTTTTTGCTCAAGTCAAGTCAAGTCAAGTCACCTTTATTTATATAGCGCTTTTTACAATACAGATTGCTCAATGCATGCTCTTTTTTTGTGCACTAAATTTGCTCCTCTTTTTTACCTCCACCCTTTTGGAAGTTTTTGCAAGTTTTCTCTGCTTTGTATCATAATTACAATTTACCAAAGCATGATTTTTCATTTCTTATGTGATGGAAATGGGCTTCCGTAGTAGAGGGGGGTTTTTTCAGACAGGATCACGATCCACGATTCTTTTTCATGTTAGTTTTTTAAACTATTTTGCAAGTGACTGAGCAGTACAGCCAAACTAAAGCACAGACTTCACTGTATGAATTAAATATACACTGATTCTTAAAGCTACTGAAGTTATTCAGTCAAAAGCAGTGAGTGATTTTCATTTGTATTTTGTTGTTTGATTTACATTAATGACAGATGGCAGCAGGTTTATTAGGCTGTTGTCACTTTAAGACCGGTGCACGCCACAGATCTAATATACTAGTAATAGCACGGAACTGTTAACATAACTTAAGATATCATAAAAATCTGAGAAAAATCTGAAAAAAATCCAAGTCCAGGCACTCAGTAGGTTACAAAAGTAAAAAAGCCTTTATTATTATTTAAGATACTAAAGATACTTAAGATATGTTTATGTAAACATTCTAAGTATGTGCTTCTCCATTTTATGCACCAAGTTTGCTGATTTTCTAACTTAACTTGCCCTTCTGAAGACTGTGCTGAACGGTTTGTGCTGTTTTTCCTCACTGGGGCCTATTTGTAGTATCTTCTTAAAATACATGTTAAAAAAAAAACCTTGAAGCACTGCTCTTCTGCCTTACCTTCCAGTGGCGGAGCCAGGATTTTTTCATAGGGGTGGCCAGGCAAGGGCCAGCAAACAGTCTGGGGTGGCATATAAATCTTAATTATTTTAACATAAAAATTATTTTAAATAATGTATTGGACTGTTTTAGTGCCTTCCTACACAACTGAATACAGTTCATTTGTACTTAATTGTAATTGAGATAGTAGTGAAGGAATCATGGAATACTGAGTGAATTTGATCTTTTTTTTATTATTATTAGCTACTACCTCCAGGCATAGGCTATTAATAAAGAGTACACACACTATAGCTAAAGTTCAACTTGCTCAGTTAGCTTGGTTCTGGTTCTCAAAACCCCCAACATTGTTGCACCTTCATGGATGAGACATGCAGATAACTACTGTAGTTCGAAGATTATTTAACCTTCATTGAATTTTATATAATCAATTAACTCTTCAACTTTCTATATTAGTTGTCAAAATAAAGAATCTAATCCGTTCTATCATACCTAAATTAAAAAGGGGGGAAAACATCTCTTTTGAATCTCTATGTCCAAGAATGTGAACAAGGCGGAAGTAAACAGCACATAAATACCAGAATGTAAAATTAGTTATTTTATGTATTTAAAAATAATAATTTTTAGTTTTGCCTTTACAAATTAACGCAAAATTACCGCCTATCTTCTAGTAGCTTACAAATGCACAGTGCTCAAATTTATTTGAACATTAAAAAAAATCACATAGCCTGTCAGTTTGTGCCTTAAATTGTGATTTCACATGGCAGAATATTTTAGTCGAGACATATGTGACGCATATATAACAAATACATGCATGCATGCAGTTTTGACACAGATTTGATCGCCTTTTTGATTATTTCATGAGTTAGCTAATTGACGACAGAATTACTGCTACAGCACGCCACATTGCGCGTGATGTGCAAGTACAGTACAACGGCTGTCAGGACAGGAAAGTTAGTTTTACTGACATTTGTTGACCTTACAACATCTCATCTTACCACAGTTACTGATTCAGGACAACGCGCTTTTCTCCGCATCTGACAGAAGTGTCACAAGCTTTCACACAGATCTTTCATAATAAAAGTAGAATCAGAAAAAAAAGAGAATTACGTTGTTGTTGCTTTGACTGCAACCCACCAGTTGAGAAACATCGAATCTATATTTACTATGCTCCGATCACTGCTCAAGCTCATTCGGTACCCGTACATCTCCGCACTCGTTTGACTTGCGCCTGGCGCTGAGGTGAAGTTGGAGTGCGCGTCTGAAAAGTCTCACGTTTTTTGTGGTCTTAAAGCGACGGTTCTGTGTTTTAAAAACAAAATTCTTGTAAAAATTAGAGCGAAACAGAAACAGCAGTTGTGAGAGGGGTGGCCAAAGGGGTGGCCAAGCTTAAGCCAAGGGTGGCCATGGCCACCCCTGGCCACCCCCTGGCTCCGCCACTGTTACCTTCTATGTTACACTACCTGACTCTACAGTTCCGGCTGACATTTGTGCCGTAAGACCTCCGTTATGGTCTCTCTGTAGGATCATAAGTCAGGCAGCGGCTTATCAAATCCTTGCATTCTGCACACGTTTTAAAAAAAAAAGAGCACTGGTTAGTCATGTATGTAAACAGGTATGTGACAATCAAATGTATGACAATGCCATCTGTTCTCTTACCTCTGGATACTGTGGGGTCATCCCTCACATCATTTTATGGCTGTTGTCCGGTCATTTCGAATAGTGCGGTGCCCAGACCATAGACTGTTGTTGGGCCCACATGATATTTTATGGGGCACTCAGGTGGGGGCAAACCTCCTATTCATTAAAGCAAGAGATTTCTACATTGAGCAAACATTTCATTTATCTGTTTTCACTTATCTATTCTTATACCTGACTTATACTCTACCTGACTCCTTAGCTACGGCTGAATTGTCCCTGGTGAAACCATTCATCCTGTAAGATCTCCTTTAAAGTTGGTCTCTTTGTAGGATCATAAGTCAGGCAACGGCTTATCAAATCCTGGCATTCTGCACAAGTTTTCAAAAGAGCACTGGTTAGTCATGTATCTATGACACTGCCATCTGTTTAACAATCCTATTGTCTTTGTGTTATTGGTGACTGTTCTCTTACCTCTGGTTACTGTGAGGTCATCCCTCATACAGAAAATCATTCTATCATAAGGCTGTAGTCCGTACACCATTTCGTACAGCACAGTGCCCAGACCATAGACCGTTGTTGGGCCCGCATGATATTTTATGGGGTACTCAGGTGGGCGGCAACCTCCTGTTCATTAAAGCAAATCATTTTTCCATTGAGTAAATATTTAATTTGTCTGTTTTCAATTATCTATTAATTAAATCAATAATTTGATCATTAAATCGCCACAGAAGACTGACATATTACATTACAGCTTACTGCCAATTCACCTAGATGTTCTCTTGTGTGGCCAGAAGACTTGACAATCCTACTGCCACTGAAGTCTATTAATGTAAGTTCCATTGTCTCTGTATTGACCAGGATGTTGTCAGGTTTGATGCTACAATGGAAGACTCCCCGGTCAAGACAGTGCTTTGCTGCGAGCACTGCTTGGAACATCAGGTCACTTGCCTGTGATTCATTCAGTCGAGGCCTGTTGTTCTCGAGGAATAAGCGCAAGCTCTGGCAGGGATGCGGATACTCCAGAATGAGGATGTATTCTTTACTCTCTTCAAACCATTCCCACATATACACAATGTTGGGATTTAACGGAGGCTGTTTCAGCAACAGATTGATAGCCACTTCTGCAAACACTGGATCGGCACACCCAGGCTAGAGAAATGTTTTTATCAAAAGATTAGCTCACTATGGGCATCTCATTTTTCCCACAAACTTGTATCTAGATAAATTAGATACATTTTGATATATTCATAAAGTTTTGCAAACATACAATTTTAATATACTTGTCTGTTGCCCTCTTCCGGATGAATTTCATGGCAATCTGCAAAAGAAAAAGAAAACATGCATATGTAAATTAATTTTCTATCTAATTAATATTAATGACTGTATATTCTCATTAACACAAATTTTCATTTTAAATTATTTTAACCATAAGATCTATATGGTATTTTTGGTGCATACAGCTAGAGTAATTCTACCTTCTGGTTATCAGATTTCCGGATCCCCTCATACACAGAGCCATTGCCACCTCTTCCAATTAACCTCTTGTATTCATAAAGTTTCTGATATGGAACTGCAAAAAATGTACAAAAAAAGAACATGTTAATTTATATAAACTTGAATAGCAGTGCTGGGTGTGAATTAACAGACAATAAATATACACATCCAATGTAAATCAGGAGATTAAATATGGATCGTGTTTATAGTTAAGTGAGAGTAAAACAGCATGATAATCAATCAGTTTCTTTATAATCATATTTTTTTAAATGGGGACTATTGTATTTAGCGACAAAAAATATTGGGTCAAGAGTACTAGTTTCATCTTTTAGATCTGGAATACTGGATGAGGTATTAGACAAACGACATGTGTAAAAACACACAGACTTAAGGAAACTAAACACAAGTGTGAAACAATCCTTGCAGGAACAAGAAACAGTTGGCAAGTATAAAAAGACTTACGGGGACCTGGAGGAATGTAAATGACCAGATCTCCAAAACGTCTTCTTCACCTAGAAACGGGCCAAATTGGTAGTCATTTTTGAGGATCAGCTGGATCCAACTGAAAATCAGTTGGATCCTTCAGAGCCGTTGGCTTGAAGACCAATGGATTTGGTTGAGGATCATCTAGATCCTGCAGAGTCGTTGGCTTGAGGACAGATGGACCCGGTTGAGGATCAGCTGGATCCTGCAGAGCATCTGTCTTGAGGACGGATGGACCCGGTTGAGGATCAGCTGGAACCGGCTGAGCTGCTGTCTCGAGGACGGATGGACCCTGTTGAGGATCAGCTGGATCCTGCAGAGCCACTGATTTAAGCATAGAAGGATCTGGTTGCGGATTGGTAAGATGCTGCTGAGCCTCTGGCTCGAGAATAGATGGACCTGGTTGAGGATCAGCTAAATTTGTGTCAGGCTGTGGTGGAACAGGGCCTTCTTTGTTGTGCTTTTTGTATCGTATTTTTGTATTTATAGAGGGTATGCGCATGACGTCACCGTCGGTCGGAGTGAATGCGGTCACGCCCACAAGTGGCAAAAAGACTGAGCGGCAGCATTTGTTTTCAGCGTGAACGCCGTGAAAATCACACAAAACACATCTAAAACGGGAAAGAGCTTTGCGATTGACTGTACAACTAGATTTGACCAGAAATCTGAGGTACTGTATATTTTTACAGACTGCAAAAAGCTACAGAACAGACTATATTCTGCATAATTGGATGTTTTTAAATGAACACTGACAAAAAACTATACAAGTTTTAGGGCTGGACGATATGATGATATACAGTATAACATTAATGTAAGTGATCACTCGGATTTAGACCTATCTATATTGTATTTATATAAAACGTTTACAGGCAAATTGTCTTCATTTATTTCCCCGGCGTCGAAATCAGGCACATATAAATGTCAGGAAACACGATTCCTGGCTGCATGTCAATATCCATGGATCACTGGATCTTTGATAAGTTGTAAGGAACACTATATCGAGTCCAACTTTTAGTTTAAACTGATAATAGTTTGTTTTACTCGCGTTAACGCAGTTTCCCTTATTAACTCCAGTCACGCAGCAGCTCTTCTGCCACTCAGTCCCGCTGAGGGGGGCGTGTTCCGGCGGGGAAGTGACGTTATTGCATTCCCTCTATAGTCTGCCACAGAGCCATAGAGAGAAAGAGTTGCGACACTCCCATAGACCGCCATAGGAACTTTGGAATGCGGAAGTAACGCGTGTCGTGGAGCGGCCAAGGGGGTAATCCATCGACCGGAAGTTGAAGCCGGCCGGGTGCCGCCATGTTGTAGCAGAACTTCACTTGCGCTAGCATTTCCATTGACTCCCATTCATTTTGGCGTCACTTTGACAGCGAATAACTTTACATCTGAGGCGTTTAAAGACTCCGTTTGTCCATTATTTATTTCTAAAGAAACACGACAATGTATAAAGGGCTCCATTACCTTCTATGTTACACTATGGCCCCGTAGAAACAGTTTTAGTAAAAATAGGCTAACGATTGCGTCATAACCACTCGACTCTCTGTCGCGCTGTACAGAAATGACCGTACAGACAGGAGGAGAAGCTCGCAGGCGATCGGGGGGACGTCCCGTCAAGAGAGAAGCCCATAGATAATGAGTCCATAAAAGCAACGGAATACTTACTCCTGCTCACTCACGATAAAGGACTCTTTGCTCAAGTTCCCCGTCTCTGCAAGATTAACGTTGGCAATTTTCACGCACCGCTACTAGAAGATTAACGTCTGTCAGACAGCTTGCTCACGTCATCAAGCTTAGTTTGAGTCGGTTTGAGTCTGCGCGTCAGGAACGGAAGTGCTCAAAAATCGCTAAAAATGGGCTTCAACTGTCTCAACTGAGTTCCAATGAGATGGCTCTGTCCATTTCTTATACTGTCTATGGGAGCGGCCTGTCTATGGGAGCGGCCAATAGTTCCAAACACTGATAGTTTCTCCATTGAACCCCATTCATTTTCAGTGCTTCAGAAGTACGTTCGCTGGTAAATTAATGAAATTACTGTATTTTTTTACTTTTACACACATTAGCCGACCTCTCGTGAATCTAGTCTGTAGTTATATTTAATGTAGCCAGTTTTAGTAAATGTTTATTGGAAGATAATAGGTTAATTGCAGCGATAGCTTACGTGACCAACACTTCACTAACGTTAGCTAACTGGTAACCTGATGTATATAATATATTTAATAATATTTTAAATGTATATATATATATATAACCTATATATAATATTATATACACACACACACACACACACAATTCATTTATTTAAATGGGTTAGGGAGGGTTATATGTATTTAGGAACATAGTTAATTCACTCATTAACTATCTCTCCGGTTTAATTTTATGAAGAATATTTTTCGGTTGAATATTTACCGAACATTGCTGTATATAGTCGTTGCTTTCTACGTTATGTGAGCAGTCTATTTCCCTCCTAAATTATTCATTTGTACATGCACAGCGTAATTATTTATATTTTGTGTTGGTTGGAATTCTGAACGGACTGCAGACCTCTTTGCGTAATCAAGAAGGTATAGGCTAATGGCTGAATTGGAATTTATAAGCAAGATCACGGGAATCAATAGCCTAATACAGCCCAGTTGTGCTAAAATAAATATCATGAGACGTCCATCATCAGATGAATGACATGGAAAAGTTAAGTTAGAGCCGCTAAAGCCAGTGGTGCTACCCATGCGAACATGAACACTAAGCTTTTCCCTCCAAAAAAATAGCCTAAAACTTATCTAAGTTGTCACCCTGCCTCTCCAAATGCAAAACTGACAGTAACAAAATGCAATAACAGCTTAAAAAGTACTTGGGTGAGTGTTTTATTTTATATTTACCGTTTAATAATCCAATCGCTGCTGTCTGTCCATAGAAGAACATGACAGCCCGCGTGTGTTTTGGAACTAATGGGGCTTACATGAACCACGTGACAGCCGTCACGGCGACATCAAAGCGTGTCGCAACTCTTTCTCTCTATGGCTCTGCCTGGTCTGCCAGGTTCTCTTGAATAACCCACTTAACCCTCATGTGGTGTTCAAAACCCTATAACACCTGTGGTGTTCCCGGTCAAAAATGACCGGGCCATAAAAAAAACCTTATAAATCACTCATTATACCATATTTTCACCCAATCTTGGATTCAATCTTTTTGTCAACATGTTCTCTTTCAATTAGGACTGGTTTTATATTTTGATTTGCATCTGAATAATCATAGGCCTCATTTATTTGAGAGTAGGCATTTCATTTTTTGAGTAATTTTTTTTAAAAAAATTGAATAATTTTGGAAATATTAAATAAAATCTGAAGAAAATTGGTACTGTTGATCACACTAGTCAACTTAACATTTTCACCAGGAATTTTGTTTTGATACTTTTGTTTTGTAAAAAATATGGCACATAGTCACACTTGTGGTGTTCCCGGTCAAAAATGACCGGCCTATAAAAAATAGCTTATAAGTCACTCATTATACCATATTTTCACCCAATCTTGGATTCAATCTTTTTGTCAACTTGTTCTCTTTCAATTAGGACTGGTTTTATATTTCTGTTTGCATCTGATTAATCGGGGGCCTCATTTGTCTGAGAGTAGGCATCTCATTTTTTGAGTAAAAAACAAATAATTTATGAGTAAATTTGGAAATATGAAAAAAAAAAATGAAAAAAATGGCTACTGTTGATCACACTAGTCTACTCTGATGTTTCACCAGGAATTTTGTTTTGAAACTTTTGTTTTGTAAAAAATATGGCTCATAGTCACACTTGTGGTGTTCCCGGTCAAAAATGACCGGCCTATAAAAAATAGCTTATAAGTCACTCATTATACCATATTTTCACCCAATCTTGGATTCAATCTTTTTGTCAACTTGTTCTCTTTCAATTAGGACTGGTTTTATATTTCTGTTTGCATCTGATTAATCGGGGGCCTCATTTGTCTGAGAGTAGGCATCTCATTTTTTGAGTAAAAAACAAATAATTTATGAGTAAATTTGGAAATATGAAAAAAAAAATGAAAAAAAATGGCTACTGTTGATCACACTAGTCTACTCTAATGTTTCACCAGGAATTTTGTTTTGAAACTTTTGTTTTGTAAAAAATATGGCTCATAGTCACACTTGTGGTGTTCCCGGTCAAAAATGACCGGCCTATAAAAAATAGCTTATAAGTCACTCATTATACCTTATTTTCACCCAATCTTGGATTCAATCTTTTTGTCAACTTGTTCTCTTTCAATTAGGACTGGTTTTATATTTCTGTTTGCATCTGATTAATCATGGGCCTCATTTATCTGAGAGTAGGCATGGTCAAAAATGGTCACAATGGCCGACCATTGAAAGTGAATGGGAGAGACTGAAAATAACAGAACAATTTAGTTTTCAGGAGCATGTTCATTATTTTCATGTACACATATGAGCATGTGTGCTTGCAAACATCGAGCCCTTGGACCTGTGCATGTATCGATACATTTATACACACGCTATCCAGACACACACACGTTAAAACACACAAACTTTTTTAAATATTACACACATTCTTTTCCACAGAGAGAAATTTGATCCTACCCTAACCTGCATCTAATATACATTTATCCATCTGACATTACCACACACACACACACACAGGCCGTGATCAGATTTTTGACTCAGAAACTAGTGAGGAGGAGGAAATTCAGGATGCATCTTGCAGTGAAGATGTTTCTGAAGAGGAAGGCACCACTGAATCGGCTACGGAGCTTGAAACAACTGATGAGGAGCAGTCTTCCAGTGATGAGGGCCCAGCTGAGGTTACCGTTTCATTCTGGTCAAAAGATGGAACTTTGTCCTGGCCTTCATCCCCACCTATGAGGCAAGGCAGGTTTTCTTCTGAATGCCTTCCTCTTCAGAAACATCTTCACTGCAAGATGCATCCTGCATGTCCTCCTCCTCACTAGTTTCTGAGTCAAAAATCTGATGAATAACATCATGTGCAGAGCTGTTTTGCCATTGTGCTGCCACAAATGAATGACAAGCAAGGTGCTGTGAGGCATTTTATATATGCCTGTGCTATCACATGATGTATATTTGTAAATATTGTCTAGTTCTGTGTGAGAACCTCACAGTTCCAAAACAAAATGTCATAATATTTTGTCTGGAAGCTGTGATGAAACAAGACCATGAAAGAAAGATTCTTTTGAAGCCGGGTCACTGCAGTCACGGCCAGTTTGTGTGTGTGTGTGTGTGTGTGTGTGGTAATGTCAGATGGATAAATGTATATTAGATGCAGGTTAGGGTAGAATCAAATTTCTCTCTGTGGAAAAGAATGTG